GCCCCTTAGGATTCACATCTCCTAACCCGGACACGGCCGTCCACCCCCAGCCCAGTCACCTCTGACCCCGCCTAGAATTCCGCCTCCCCGCATGCACGTCCCAGCTTCCTCCACCCCTGCCAGGGCCTTGCCAGTGGTGTCTGGTGAATGCTGGGTGTCTTTCCCGTGCTGTGCCCAACAGCAGCACCTGATGGGGCCACACACCCAATCAGGTCGCAACGGACCGCGGAGCCAGCCTTGAATTCACAGAGGAGGCCCCGGCCCCAGCTCTCACCTCTCAGCCCCCAGGGGCGCTGGGTTAAACCATTGCTGTTTGAGAGCAGGAGTGGGCGATTTTTAAAGAATATATATATTTGTATTGATTTCAGAGAGGAAGGGAGAGGGAGAGGGAGAGAGAAACATCAATGATGAGAGAGAATCATGGACGGGCTGCCTGCTGCACGCCCCCGACTGGGGATCGAGCCCACAACCCAGGCATGTGCCCTGACGGGGAATCGAACCCTGACCTCCTGGATTTTATCTGTTTCAGAGTCATTGTACAGTTAGAAAAAAAAGAAAAAGAAAAACGGACGGTTGGGAACGTTTCTCATTGTGTTTTCGATCGCTGAGGTCCCCGTGGACAGGGGCTCACAGCAAAGCAGACGTGTCAGGTGGGGCTCCCAGCGGTCGGCAATCCCAGGTCCGCCTCAGAGGCCAGCGCCGTTAGGGCTGGAGTCCTGGTGTCCCAGGGGCAGAACCTGCTCCCTTCTCCTTCCCAGCTTCTGGGCGCTGCCTGCACCCCTTGCTCACAGCCCCCCGGCCCCCCCCACATCTCCAGATCCATGCACATCTCTCCGACCATTCCTTTATACACATGTTTTTCTTGATTTTAGAGAGATGGGGGGAGGAGGAAGGGAGAGAGAGAAACATCCATTGGTTGTCTCCCTCGTGCACCACAGCCCGGGAAGGGAAATGTACACCCGGGTACGCGCCCTTGAGCGGAATCGAACTCGGGACCCTTCCGTTGGCCGGCTGGCGCGCTAACCACTGGGCACACCTGCCAGCGCTGACACAGGCATTTAGAGAGAGGCGGGTATGCGCGTGCGTAAGGCACGGAGCC